ATCTATCTATCTATCTATCTATCTATCTATCTATCTATCTATCTATCTATCTATCTAGGATGATCTCCTTTAGTCCAAGCTAACCTATAATTTACTATGTAGTCAAGAACAAACTTGAATTTAGCCCCTCGGGAGCTGGTGAGATGGCTCAGGGATTAAGAGCACTGACTGTTCTTCCGGAGGTCATGAGTTCAAGTCCCAGCAACCACATGGTGGCTCACAACCATCTGTAATGAGATCTGATGCACTCTTATGGGGTGTCTGAAGACAGCTACTGTGTACTCACATATAATAGATAAATAAAAAAAAACTTAAAAAAAAAACTTAGCCCCTAACTTCTACCTCTCAAGTGCTGAGATTACAGACATGTTCCACCAAACCTAGTTCCTGTAGTGCCAGGAATCAAACCCAGGACTTCATGCATGCTAGGTAAGTACTCTGCCAACTGAGCTACATTCCCAGCCCCATATGTGCATCTATTTTTAAACTCCTTATCCTCATGCTGTACAAAAGACAAAAATATAGTCAGAGAAGTATTTTCTTAAGATATATATTTTGTTTCATTTACCCATGGTTGATTTTAAGTATCTATAACACTTTATAAATAAAGTGAAATGTAAGTGGGCTGGTCAGAAGGCTCAGCTGGCAAAAGCACGTACCACTAACCCTAACTACCTGGGATTAATCCCCAGGACCCACAAGGCAGAAGGTGAAAACTCACTCTGGCAAGTTCTCCTCTGACCTCCACATGTACACAGTGACACATGTACACCCACAACCATAAACACACACGCGCACGCGCACACACACGCACACATAAATAAATAAGTTTTTTAAAATGTAATAATTTTTTTAAAAAAAATAAAATACATGTTAAGCTTTTAGCTCTTCTGGTTATAAATTAGCTTCAAATGTCCCTACACTGATACAGCCTTTTCCTGCAAAAGAAACAAGATCAAACAGACGTAACCAAAGCAAGCCCCAGTGTCCCGAATGCTATCTTGAATTAACACGTCTTGTCTTTTGTTTGATCACATTTCATGTTTTTCTGCTTCTAGCTATACCAGTTCCTTTAGTGACATGCATTTTTGATTGATTTGACATTTTCAGCTCCTTTCTTCCTAAGCAAAAGAAGTTTTTTGCAGCTTTAACCCGAGTCACCTTTTGATCTTCCATGCTGCTGTCTAGGTTCTTGTTTTACCTTCTTTGTTCAGAAACTATTATTATTATATTATTATTATTACTATGATTTTATTCATTCAGTGCTGTGTGTGTGTGTGTGTGTGTGTGTGTGTACATGCACATGCTGAGGATTGAACCCAAGGCCTTGAGCACACTAGGCAAGTAATCTACCACTGAGCTCTACAGCAGCCCTTGTACGGTGATTTTTTTTGATATAGGTTTATATTTTCTGTTTTCTTATAATTACTTCTTGAATGTTGACGTTTCTGTGGTCATTCTTCTCCATTCCCCAAACACATGAATGATGTGGCTTCTAAAAAATAGTTTGGCAGGAAATGTCCTGAATTGTTATAGTTTTGTTTTATGTGTATGAGTATTTTGCCTGCATGTGTGTGCATCATGTGCATGCCTTGTGCTCCTGGAGGTCGGGAGTGGGTGTTGGGTCCTCTGTCCCTGGTTGTGAGCCTCCACATGGGCACTGGGAATGGAGCCTGTCCTGTGCAAATGTACTAAGGGCTCTTGAGAGCTGAACCATCTTTCCAGCGCCTGTCATCCTTACTTATTTTCAGATTTGGATAACGCATCAGTCAGCTGGGAAGATAACTCCAGATTCAAGGAGACCCCGGCGTGGTGATACAGGGGTTAGGATGTGCAACCACTCCTGACTTTCCACCTCCTCGTCTGAAAAACATCATTTTATTAAGTTCTGATTCATAAGCCTACAATAACAAAACTATTTTGGTGCTAGTCCGGGCATAGAAATACAGATCAGTAAGACTGAGTAGAGAATCAGGAATAAACATTTGTGTGGTTAAACATCTATTTGGAATTTTAAACATGTTTGTATTAGAGACACGTTTGTGTTATATGAAGGTGATATTTCAGGTCATATTTCCCAAATAAGTGACCTGTATAAATAAATATTTATTACTGATAGGCATTTACAACTGGTAGAAAAAAAACTTAGGGTATAATTTGTATAGGGAAAACTATTTGGGGAATATGACCTGAAATATCACCTTCATATAATACAAATGTGTCTGTAACACAAACATGTTTAAAATTCCAAATAGATGTTTGACCACGCAAGTGTTTATGAAGATAAAGGAGAATACTATTTTTAATCTTTCTGTGAAACAAATTGACCATTCACTAAAGCTTTAAAAAAATTTTATTGAAAAAATTATTTATTTTTATTTTATGTTTATTAGTGTTCTTTCTGCATATATGTTTGTGTAAGGGTATCAGATCCCCTGGAACTAGAGTTACAAACAGTTGTGAGCTGCCACATAGGTGCTGGGAATTGAACCTGGGTCTTCTGGAAGAACAGCCAGTGCTCTTAACCATTGAGCCACCTCTCCGGTCCCTTATTAAAGCTTCTTACGGCAGAAGCCACGTGAGCAAGTTTAAATACACAAAACAAGCTGTATGGAATCTATCAATCGGCATAAAGCTTTTAATGGATGTATGTTTTGTTTCAACAAATTGGCTTCTTTGAATTCATTATAAAGAAGCCATTGAATCTACTCACAAGGTACATTTTTGGTGTAATCTTAATAAAGAAATTATAATATCACAGATTTACATCAAAATGGGACATTTTAGTTTTTGGTTTTTGAGGGATGGTCTCCTGCACTCTTTAGCTGAGGCCGGCCTGGAACTTACTATGTGTCTCAGGTTGGCCTACGATTTGTGCTAATTTTCTATGCTTGGGTTCCAGGCCTGTTCTGCTATGCCCAGAACAATGCTGGACTTTAAAAATAGGTATTATATTACTAGAACAGAATGCTTTACAGGCTGTGAACTTTATTAGTGTGTGTGTGTGTGTGTGTGTGTGTGTGCGCGTGTGTGCGCGCGCATGCGTTACAGCACATCCATGGAGCTCAGACCAGTTTTGGAAATCAGTTTTTCCTCATCACTTAGTTGGGGCAAAGTCTCTCTTGTTCCTTTTCAGCACTGTATTCTCTAGCTTAGCTAGCTTCTGGGCCTCTGGGCCTCTGGGCCTCTGGGCCTCTGGGCCTCTGGGCCACTGGGCAGCTGTCTTGTCTCTGTCCTCTATCTTGCTGTAGGAGAGCTAGGATTATGTATGTGCGCTACATATATTTCTTCTTCTCCTTCTCCTTCCCCTTCCCCTTCCCCTTCCCCTTCTTCTCCTTCTCCTCCTCCTCTTCCTCCTCCTCCTCCTCTTCCCCTTCCCCTCCTTCTCCTCCTCCTCTTCTTCCTCCTCCTCCTCTTCCTCTTCCCCCCCTCCTCCTCCCTTTTTCTCCTCCTTTTTTCTCCTCCTCCCTTTTCCCTCCTTTTTCTTTTCCTCCTTCTCTTTCTTTGCTTCCTCCTTTTTCCCTCTTCCTCCTTCTTTTTATCTTCCTCCTCCTCCTTCTTCTCCTTCTCTTCCTCCTCCTCCTTCTTTTTCTGAGACAGGGTCTTACTATGTAGTTCTGGCTCTCCTGGAACTCACTGTAGATCAGGCTAGCCTCAAACTTACAGCGATCCACTTACCCCTGTCTCCTGAGTACTGGGATCAAAGGCATGTGTCCCTATGCCTGGCATATAAGGCTGCTTTTACTTGAATTCTGAGTGTTGAACTCAGGTCATCGAAGTTTTTATGTGGCTGGTAGCATTACTCACAGAGGCTTTTTCCCAGCCTAGGTGACATATTTTCAATAAGATAAAGAGTGGTTTATGAAATAGTGTATTTACTATGATTCTAACTTTGTTTATAAATCATAAAAAAGCATAAAATACTGAAAGAATTTATGACAAAATTAATCTTCTTTTGTATTTTCCAGGCTTTTTCAGTTAATTTATTTGAAATATATTTGTGTGTATAAGTATATAAAAAGAAAAAAATACAAGTATACAGATGTTTTTAAAATGTTGTTAGCATATATCATTTACTAGCTGGAATATCAATGTTAAAGTCCTGACTTTTTCTCCTTTTCTACTTGAGGAAAATTCCTAACTTCATATCTTGGAACTTGGAGTCTATCAGCATACTTTAGAAAAGAGACAGATTTTAGGAGCCAGTTGATAACCTTGAAGCAGAACAGAAGTCCCCAAACACATTATGTGTTAATACACCAGACAGTAGTTATCTTTGTCCACGGCCCACAGTTTCCAAAATATAAACTGGAATGATATCAGTGATGTTGCCACTGTTCTCAATACAGCTGGGGCTGGGAGTCGAACTCAGGTCCTTGTGTATGCAAGTCAAACACAACCTACTTACCTACACCCTCAGCTCCTCATTGGTTTAGACTGTTCATTCAATGAGTTGGAATCTTGGGCAGAGAAACCACTAGATTGTCATCTGCTCTCCTCTTTAGGATCCAGGAGAGAAAGGTGTGGGTACCGTATAGTACGGAGACAGAGGAGTTCCAGCGAGCAGGTGCACTGCCTGAGCAAAACCAAGAGACACAGTGGGCATGTACCCCGGGTGAAGGAGCTGCTGCTGAGCGCCCTGAGTCCGGAGCAGCTGGTGCTCACCCTGCTGGAAGCTGAGCCGCCCCATGTGCTAGTGAGCCGTCCCAGCATGCCCTTCACCGAGGCCTCCATGATGATGTCCCTCACTAAGCTGGCTGACAAGGAACTGGTGCACATGATTGGCTGGGCTAAGAAAATTCCTGGTAGGACTCTCTACATCCTGACTTCATTTTATTCGTTTGTAACAAGGCCTGTCACTCACATTTAGGGGGCAGTAAAGGTCACCTGGATATATAATAGTTTGTTTGATGCTTTGTTTTGTAACCTTTTCTTTATAAGTTTGTTTGTTTTTTTTTACTTTCAATTTTAATTTTATGTATGAACACAACTGCAGATGACCAAGGAAGCCAGAGGTGCCAGAGCCCCTGAAGCTGATGTTACAAGCAATAGTGGCTGTCCAGTGTGGGTGCCAGGAATTGAGCTCAGCTTAGGTGCTGGCAATAGAATTGGGTCCTCCACAGGAGTGGCACATGCTCTTAACTGTTGAGCACAATTTGTAATTTATAACGGTGATGTTTTTTTCTTACTACCTTAACATATATAACTACATATTCTGGAAGGTTAGATTCTGTTTAGAATTCCCAGACTCTCAGGTTTTATATGAAATAGAGTAATTCAGGAGGCATGGTATATAGAACCCCTTTCTACGTCTGCCTTTCTTTACTTTTGACTCCTAGATCCATCTTCCACACACTGTAACACTGGTTATATCCACATCTCCTTCACAAGCCCGTTGCTTATCTCTCATGTCCAGATGTGGTCGGGGACAGAATCTAAGGAGGGACCTACCCAGGCTTTGGAACTGGACTTAGGATCACTTGGGCAAGTCTAGGGTCTTGGGGCCTGGTTAAAAGGTAGAAATATGAATTTCATGTTGATCTGTCTCTTGTCTGTTAACATTGTAGCTTTTGAGGAAGGGCATGGTCATACTGGGATAAGATAGAGCCAATCTCACGGTGAGAGGGTAAAAGGAATGTCAGATGCTAAGAAGGAAAGTACAAACTATCATTCCAACAGAGAAAGGATCAGAATTATCTACAGATAGAATAAACCAGCAGTTGAAGTGTTATGCATCAATGGGTCAGTAACTTCATGCTAGTGATATAGGGTCAGGTAGAATATGTACTTTTTCATCCTATAAAGTGGATATTCCGCCAGACCCCACCCAGTCTTCAACTTATGATGGTTTAGCTCACAGCTCTTCACTGTGGGTGCGATGGTTGAAAAGATACACTTGACTCCTTCTGGCTTTCTCCTTCAGTGTAAGACCAAGAGATCACTTAAGCTATTTGATGCTTCGCTGTTAAATAGGCCTTGTACTCAATGGTTTTACCGAACTGTTCAAAGCTTGTTTAAGGTAGGCTAGGCTGAGCCATGATGTTGAATAGGTTAATTTGATTAAATACACTTATTTTAAAATATTATTATGAGCATATAGTATTATTATTGTCATTATCATTATCATATGTGTGTGCACATGTAATAATAATCAAACGCACATCATCAGGCTCACATGCAAAACACTTTTGCTGGCTGAGGTGTTGAGATGGCCCTACATTTTGTTGTTTTGAGATGAAAATTTCACGGTGGGCCATTCACTTATTTTACAGCCATCCATTAAATAAAGTCTCCGTCCCTCTCAATTCTAAGGCAGGCCGAGGTTCCCATGGTCCAGTGGCAGCAGGGGCAGTAGCTGTATGAGCAAATTGTAAAGATTTGGCATTGTTGAGTGGGTGGATGAAGAGCTGCGGACGCTATGGCCCCAGGTGCAGGTCTCTGCGCCATCTGTTGGCTGGACCCCATTTCTGCCGAGCTTTCTGGAGCTCATCTGCTTCCCAGCTTTGTTTTGTCTAGTGTGTCCACCTTTGTCAGGATTATTTCATTTTGTCTGCTGTTTCCCAGAGAAGAAAAACACCAAGGCACTTTCCTCTAGTTTGTATTTCAAGTGTTTTCCAAACACCGTTTGCGGGATCTCCCAGGAAGAACGGAGACGACTTACTATGAAAAGCTAGTCGGCTTTTTGTCTGCCCTTCCCCAATTAGTTTTTTCTCCCAGCCTAGTGTTTTGGAAGATTTGCAAGTGTCTTACATAGGACTGTGAGTGACACTGGAAAGTGTACACGTATCAGGAACCCAAGCGGAGCACAAGCGTGTGTGGCTCTGGAAAGGACTTGCCCATCTGTGGCGCATGCGCATTCACTTGTGTATAAGTCTAGAGGCCAGGGGCTGACACTGGTGTCTTTCTCAATTGTTTGCCACCTTATGTTTTGGTATAGGCTCTCCCACTGACCTTGGAGTTCATTGACTAGACTAGTGACCTTCAGAGGCCTTTCTGTCTCTTTCTCCCTAATGTTGGCATTATAGGCGCATGCTACATGCTACCGAGGATAAAGCTCAGGTCCTCATAATTTCCTGGCCAGACTTTACTGACTGAGCCGTCTCTCTAGCTTTGGATGTGGCCATTTTTACGTTCATGTTCCAGTTCCTTCTTCATTGTGCACATTCACAGTGCCATCATGCAAAGGGTTGAACATGTGTGCTTTTACACTGTAGGAACACTGGTTAGATAGTTATAAGAAATCTTACCTGAAAGGGATTCTCAGGAGGCAAGAACACTTCCACTTTTCCTACATGAAAAACAGATTAGCCGGGTGGTGGTGGCGCACGCCTTTAATCCCAGCACTTGGGAGGCAGAGGCAGGCGGATTTCTGAGTTCAAGGCCAGCCTGGTCTACAGAGTGAGTTCCAGACAGCCAGGATGATACAGAGAAACCCTGTCTCGAAAAAAACAAAAAACAAAAAAGAAAGAAAGAAAGAAAGAAAGAAAGAAAGAAAGAAAGAAAGAAAGAAAGAAAGAAAGAAAGAAAGAGATTTGATGAAAGATTAAATTACCAGCGGGGGTGGGGGGATAGGGATGTAGTTCAGTGATAGACCATGTACCTACTATGTTCAAGACCCTGGCCTTGCTTCCTAGCATTTATGTGCATGAACAAGTGCATGTTCATGTGCACATGTGTGTGCGCGCACACACACACACACACACACACACACACACACAGTTACTAGTTAGAAAGGGACGAAGCTGATGTTCAAAACAGAATCCATTTCACTCAAAAGCTGTGCCTTTGACTACTGTGTTTATATTTTGCAGTTCCCTCTTATTATTGTGTGTTATAGAAGAAGTTCCTATGTCCTCGGCTTTGTGCTAAAGACATTCACTCCCCTAGAGATTCTGTGTTTTGTTCCAGTTCTGTGGTTAATTCATGCCATGAGAGTATCACCTGCCTTTGGCTGTTATCCTTGCTCTTTAGGGTGGAATCACCTGGAGACAGCAGCTCTACCCAGAATAGTCCCAACGCTGCATGGGAAATGTTACATAGTCAGAAAAACTATTTTAGTTGAAGCCTTGGCTGTCTGCAGGGGCGGGCACTACTCGCTGCGTACTTCCCACCACCCCATCATCTAGACTCTAGCTACCCCATCCATCCACCCTCCAAGCCATAGATTGGGACAGACAGGCAGCCTCTCTGGCAGGTGAGCTTTGACTTCCTCAGTAGGGACAGGAATTATTAGGCCCACACAGCCACAGCTAACAAGCCTTAGCTCTGCCTTTTGGGTCCTTTCTAGCATCCTTCTGGGGATCCAAGGGCTCTTTAGAAATACTAAACAAAGGTTTGTTTTCCGAAGGGGTTGGAGGCCAGAAACTGCAAGTTGCACAGCTGAGGTTCCTTTAACCCACATTTAATCACCTCTTTGAACCACCTATTGATTCCTTCCCTATGTTGTTTGGGTTTCCTTGGCATTTGATAACTTGCCGTTCTGCCTGAATAGAGATGGGTTGCTGCGTGGGAGGGAGGTGTGTCTCACGGACTCTTGTCTCCCCAGGCTTTGTGGAGCTCAGCCTGTTGGACCAAGTCCGGCTCTTGGAGAGCTGCTGGATGGAGGTGCTGATGGTGGGGCTGATGTGGCGCTCGATCGACCACCCCGGCAAGCTCATCTTTGCTCCAGACCTCGTTCTGGACAGGTGAGAAAAAGTACTTTGTGTTTCATCGCTGGTCTGTTTAATTAAACAGAGAGGGAACAAAGTCCTAGGTGCCGCAGTTAAATTCTCACACGAAGGGACAACTAGAGGGTGATAACCCCACCCATTCCTTCACTGGGCCCAGAGCCCGTGAGGAAGAGGGCATGGGTGCCAGCTTCATATCCCACAATCCATTCCAATCAGTTGTGTAGCAACAGTCCTGGGCTGTGGCAGGGAACTGCATCCTGCAGGGTATTGGCCCGCTGAGTGCGCAGTCAACATAGATCTGTACTTACGTTATATTCTTAAGGTGCCCTGCAGTTGAATGATCAGTTACATCTCTGGGCAGGTGATAAGGCTCTTTTGGGCCTTCCTGAGCTATAGCTTTAATGCTAATACTATCATTTATCTCTAATGGCATTCTTGGAACAGGTGGTGGGAGAGCTTTTCATTAAGGCCAAGTGAAAGTCAACAGCCACTGGGGCATGACAGTGCTGTCACAAATTGGTTAAATCTAGTTGTCTTTTAGAGATGGCACAGAGCAGGAACTAAACTTGGGTTAGTTGAAATGTCTATAGAAGATAAACTGGAATAGCCAACAACAGCCAAGCTTTGTTGTAGGAAAAATGGAAACTTTTGGTGAACCTTTGAGTGGTTCGGAAACTCTCATGGAAAGAGTCCTAGTGTTTAATGGTCAGCACATTAGACTCTGCAGAGAGCAGGAGGATACCTGGTGCTGTGAACCTGAAGTGCCCACCCCAACTCTTGCATCGTAATCCTGTTACCACTTTAGGTCCTCAGAAGACCCTCACTGGCACGTTGCACAGATGAAGAGTGCTGCCCCAAGGTATCCGCATCCATCCTGCCTGTTGTCATGGATGACACTGACAGAGCACTGTTCTGAGTAATGGAGGTGTTTTGTGGAGAACAAATCCCGTGGGAAGAGCTGAACCATGGGATGTGGCTTGAGCAGGTGGTGGACAAGAGAGGGAGGCTCTGGAAGGCCAGAGCAGTGGGGCAGGTACCAGACCCTTCAGTGACCATCCAATAACTAAGCTTATTGGCTGGTGTGTGCCAGGTACCATCCTAAGCACTGGATGTGCGCCATCTTACCCAGTCTTCCCAGAAGCCCTTTTGGAAGAAGCCTGGTTCAACATCCCCCCTTCAGTTAAGGAACAGGGAAGTGAAGTAGTTGGCTTACAGCTGCAGGGTGGAAAGTGATGGAGCTGGACATGGGAATCTGGTCCTAAAGTCCACATGGAGCACAGTATCCCAGTGGGAAAGAGAACTGGACAGGAAGAGAGGAGGCAAAAGGCAAATTGATTTTATAATTTATTCTCGTCTTAGAACACAGCCCTATCCAGGCGGTGGTGGTGCACGCCTTTAATCCCAGTACTTGGGAGGCAGAGGCAGGCGGATTTCTGAGTTCAAGGCCAGCCTGGTCTACAGAGTGAGTTCCAGGACAGCCAGAGAGAGAAACACAGGACAGCTACACAGAGAAACCCTGTCTTGAAAAAAACCAAACCAAACCAAACCAGACCAGACCAGACCAGACCAGACCAGAACAGAACAGAACAGAACAGAACAGAACAGAACAGAACAGAACAGAACAGAACA